CCTAGTACTTCATAGTTTGCGTCGCTGTCTGGGTTGTGCTGTTCCATAGCACAGGAGTGGTTCCCTTTGACACCCAGCTTTCCCCTGTGGGTTGTGTTATACACCTGCCAGTGCTTTGCTACTCTACATCCACCATATCCACCAGTGGGATTAAACTCTCTTTCCACGTGTGGAGATGGATGCAGGAAAGCTAAGGGACTTTTTTTTCCCCTCAAAAAAGAACAATGAGTGCAGAGGAGAGGGGTGTTTCTTCTTATATACCGAAGAAGCTGCCTGCTTGAAAGGGTTGTGTAGGTGATGAGTAGCTGGTAACACTGGAACTCTGCGAAAAGAGCTGCTTCACTTTGTTGAAGGCTCTGAGGTACAGAAATAGTTATGTGGTAGGATATTAAGACTGTACATTTCTGGTGTACTAGGACTGAGCTTGTATCTACTGTGTGCTTAATTGCAGCTGTCACTGATTGAGAAATCTGGTTGTATGGCTTCTCGGCTCTGGGAATGGCTGGGAATGCCCTGAAATGAGAGTCTGTGCTTCTTAGTGGGGTTTTGAAATTTGAGCACAGTAAATCACTTAGGCTTTCTGAAGTATTAAATTGAATTATTTAATTTGTGCATTAGTGTGCGTACGTGCCAGATCTTCTTATTCAATGGTCTGGTTATGATCAAGCTTCACCAGTTCCTTTATAATGTCCAGGTCTTTTCCACAAGCAAGAAGTGAAGTGCAAAGTTCTACTCCCTGACAAAATAGGGAAAACCATGTGCAATATTTCAGTAGATATTTACTGAAACATTGCTGGCATAGTATTTCTTCTCATAGTAGACAAAATAAAAATTTTCAACTCCAAAAAAGACATTTATTTCAATTATATTGCATTGGGGAGTTAATTATATAGTCGGAGTTTAGATTGGTGTAAAGAATATGAATGTTTTTCTCCAAAGATATTTCTTTGGTTCTGTTTTTTGTTTATTACTGCTGACAGTTTTGGCTTTTGTGTTTTAGTGTATAATGAAACTCTTTGAGGACAATGTGGAACATGTTTCTTAAAATATCTTAATTACATTTGACTTCTCTGAACCATCTGAAGGGAGTTTCTATCTTACTGAAAAGATACAGCATTTTAACATTAGCTTGATGTGCAATAAGCAAAAAAGGTCTCCCTTTTAACTTAATTTATTAAATGTGTTCGTAGTACAATTGTCGAAGGAAATATCAAGGCCTACTTGAAAAAAAATATAGTTGATATCTTGCAGGGGATTTTTCTAAAGGGTTAAATTTAACAGAAACTAAAGTTTGGCTTCTCCTATATGACTTTCATAAGACTAGTAATAGAAATGTTAAAATTTCTATACAGCACTTACCGTCAATAGGCAGCTTAGAAATGCCAGCTGTAATTAAAATACTTGGTTATAGGAAAACACTTGACTATTAGCATGATTGAGCAAATAAGTAAGTAGCATTGCTATTTATATATTCTTTTGGTGCAGAAATCTCTTTACAAAAATTATCACAAAACATAATTACTTTGAAAAAACTTTTAGCAATTACCATAACTTAAATAAATCTTTTTCCTATCGCTTCATAGAATTTTCACTTCTAAATAAATGAATTGAAACTATGCCAATTGAACTTTCTAGTAATACAGTACGTTATTAATTAATAAGTTATTGTTTAATTATTTAAAGCTCATTTTGAACTCTGTCCTGAAATGAAATTATTTTGCAGATGACTAATTTTGCAACTGTAATGTACATTTTAAGACTCAAAAAGATTCAAAATAAAATCGTTTATGACATAATAGAATATACTTGATGCAAAACTTCAAGTTGATGAATGGTGTTCCCTTTCAACTCAGTGGGCGTGGGAACGACGGCTGATTCCATCAGTACCAACCTACCTGGGTTGCTCCTTTGGGCAGGAGGCGGGAAGGGACCCCTCTTTTCCTGGCACTGTTGTAAGTCCCTTGGATGCAGCGGAGCAGGAGGGGTTGTTTGTCTGTGGAGGTACAATCCACCCGCAACTTCTGATCCAAAATTGAGGCTCTTCCCCCTGTAGGCAGAACCCCTTAGAAATGCATGAGCTCAATTTCTTTCTTAGTGTTTGCAGTACAGTTTAAACATCGGCCAAGAAGATCACCCATCAAACAGGGTGTTAGCGGTTTACACATAAATTTAATTCTCTGCAGGATCCTTGTTCTGTTTTGGTGACATAAATTAGTAGTAAACTTGTTGAATATAACTCCTTCAGATTTTAAAGTCGGCCAATGATTCCTCAAGTAACACAGATACTTTATATAGCAAATGTACCTTTGAGTTCCAGTCTTTTGAGAAAGGCTTTGCAGGCAGTTGGGAAGTTTGACTCATCTGGGAATGGGGGGATGAATTACCCCAAACTGTCTGATAGTGATGTAAAACTATTTTTTTTTTCATCTGGGTTCTGCAAAAGGAGCTGTTGCTCACACCTTGTATTGTGCCTGTAAGAAGTACAAGACAATGAGGATTCAGACTCTGTATATTTCTAGTGCATTGGGCTGCTTAAAAAATGAATTTGGGGATTAATTTGAAATCTCATTTATTTTTCTCAAAAATCAGTGAACCTTAGCTTTTCCTACTGCTTGTTAAGTGCAAGTGCAAACTGAAGGGATGGACTAATAAATTTAATGACTCTAAAATGCAGTTTAAGCTCTTCCCTTGTCCTTTTTTTGTTGCTCTTTCTGTGACTTAATGACCTCTTGATACATTTTTCTATGAGAAACATCTTTTTAACCTGATCACAGGCACTCTTAAAACAGAGAGTGAGAATGGAAAGATCGTTTGTGCTAGAGACTGCTTCAGGAAGTGCCATTTAAATTCCAGGTGATTAGGAGGAGAGCAAAGGAATTCAAGTAGGAAACCTGAAAAAGAGCTTGAAAAAAATATTAAAAAGCAGTGTAGAAAGCTAAGGAAAGAATGTATGAGAGTTGGGATTCACATGGAAGATGAAACATTTACTGACTGCAATGGCTGCTATGCAAAGGAAAGAGCATTTAAACTGACTGCCTCAAAATCTGATATGCAGTGTCTTTGGAGGTATCAAAAAATGAATTCCAGAAGTTTTAAATTATCTTCTTTCAGGAACTATAGTGCTTCCACTTTTTCTAGTTTTTTTAAACAAACAGTTAAAGAGCTCCATCACTGGGTTTAAATTATTATTGTAAAATTATTTTCTTCTGCATTGATTAAGTAATGCCTGAATATCCCATAAAGTTATGTATGTCTGCTCATACCTTGTCAGTTTGTAATGCTTGGCTTTTCTAGATGCATTTGTTCAGTTGCCTTTTCATAAACTTGGAGTACTTTGTGTATAAAATCGTAGTTTTCAGTTTTTCTCTCATTAATTTGTTTGGTTTTGGTGGATTATGTACTTCCTTTCCAAATATAATGCATGAATTGACTTGTCAGTTCATAAAATATTTATGAACCATGTGGACAGATAATAGAAGCAGAAGGAGTTTTATGACAGACTGGTTTTCGGGTAGGACTTATATATAATGTGCTCTAAATTAGTATGCTTTATTTAGTATCAAAGCATATGCTGATTTTTGTCAGTTAGAGAATCTGATCATTCTTCGTTCTTTTGGGAGATGAAATTTAGTGAAAATTTTCTGTTGCTTCTGCCAACAGAATTCTAGAAGACTTAACGTAAATACTCTAAGTGAGAAAATTCTAATTCATTTTGTTTTTCAATAAAAACCCTCTCGTCCTTTTAGGAGGTCTTTGGGGAACGTGAAGTTACTTGAAAAAAGTTGCTCCTCAAACAAAGTCGTGGAAGTGGTACATAGTGAGGAGATACTGCGAAGTAAATTAAACTGTTAATCACAGAAATTCATCATATGAGATTACTCTTATGATTATCTATCATTTTTGAATTTATGATTTCCCATTATTACTTAAGATAAATCAAATAATGATAAATCAAAACAAAGCTGGCACTTGACGCCAGCTCTCTCATTGCTCCAAACACGTGTCTTAATCTATAATAACTTTACCAGATTATTGTTGCTTTTAGTTTTTGAATATTGAACCTAAAGTAGCCACAAGCACTGATCTGGTGTGACATAATATTTTAGCCCATCTTCATAGTTGCTTCAAATAGTTGCTACTGAATATGTGTTCAGTATTTTATTGCTGTCTGTTGTATTCAAGGTTTTCTGTGCCTTTGTTATTTACTTTCTTTCCCAGATTCCCCTAAAGAATTAGAAATCACAAGCATATCTTAACTCCTGGTAGCCTGCGTTATTTCCAGGCAGGAGGTGGAGACAAAGAACACAAAATGCTGAGCGGTTTAATAGCCATTATCTTTCTGCTGGCTTCAGTTCTGTATCTCTGGAAACCCTAAAATAAACAGATCTGACTTGTACTAGAATGTCCACCTGAAAGATATTTCAGGTTTTTTTCCAAAGCTTTGTACATCTTGCAAAGCTTTGCGATCTTTATGAATATGTTTTTAATTTATAATGAGAAGAAATTCAAATTAAAATACCCATAAAATACCTTATATTTAATTTCATGGGGAAATTAATAAAATCACAATCATGACAGAACCCAAGCTCATGACTTCATTAGTGGTCAGTATACCCAGATTGGCATCCTGACTGAGGGAATCATAACAATGCAGTTAAATTTTATCCTCATTTTGGACAGTGCCTATCCTCATTATCCGCATTTTGGACAGCATTAATATAAATGTGACAGTTCTTTTGTAGAACACGAATGCATTTAAAACTAATTCTAAACTTAAATGGTGTTTAGAATAAAGGTGCTTTTTCTGTATCAGGCCTTTGTCATTGGTTTTTGATACCTTAATGAGAGTTGTGCATTGTATAAGACATTAGGCAAGTATTATCTTAAGATCCATTGAAGAACAAGTCTATTAAAGGGTGTAGATTAACCTAAGGTATGCTGCTTGCTTTTTCAGATAAATTAAGTAGTTGTATTAATGCCATTGTTTTATCTTTTAACAGTTCAGCCCTTGAAGAGATTTTTAAGAAGTGCAGGGCCAAGACACGATAGCTTAAAAATTGTGGGATCTGCTGCATTTCCAGGTATTTTTCTCTAAACATAATGTAATACATTTTAGTGCAAATATTTTTTTTTAACAAAAAAAGGCTCCTCTTTATCATATCCCTTGTTGTTGAATTTTTTAAAGTGGTTCAATTAATTAAAATTCTGCACTGACTTATGTGTACTTAATAGGCTTACCCACAGCGTATATTTCTGTCATTGTAATTTATTTTTTGTAGTTTTTTAAAATTCTTACTTATACTTTTTATGAAACCAAGATAATTATTTTATGTAATTGCTATGAAAATAACGATGTTCTGTGCACTCTTCCTGGTTGTTGGGCTCTTGCATTGAAATACTGCTTGCTTGCACTGTAGGTGTTGCGACTTCCTCTTGTTACGTACACAGAGCCTGAGACTTGAAGTTTATATTATATTTTATAACAAAAATTAGGAGTTAATTGCTTTCTACGTTAAATTGTCTAACTTCAGAATATATTATCAGTTTATTTTCTCATTAAACAAGACAACTATTGGAAAATCTGAAAATTGAATTAAAGACCAGGCTGTTCCTCATTGCCATTATTTACTTGTGTTGCATTTTCTCTAAATGCAGATTGCTGGCTTGGTTTTGGTAATGCTCTTCCCCAGAGTTTTTTCTATGTGTGTTTTCTAGTTACAGCTTTATTAGTAGCGTAACTAGAAGTAATATTTCTGTTGTTTGGGGGAATGCTAAAGGACAGCATTTATTTGACCTTTTTTTTAGAAATATGTCAATTTCTGTCCAAAGGTGAAACAATTCTGGGAAATTGTTTTAATTCAGTTTTTTTAAAACATTTTTAAAGGTTTTCCTCAGGAGTTTAACTTACAATATTATTTATCATTAATGTTAAATAATGACTCTGAGTTGTCTAAAGGTTCCTCATATTAGTGTACTTCTCTCTTCTGATTCTGACTCACGTCCATAAACAAGTCTACTACTTGCATGGCACAGGGCAATTTGAAAGTTAGAAGGCAAGATTAAAATGTTTTATCTCAACTCTCTTTCTAAATTTAGTATTAATAAAGAATGTTTCTACCCTCTCTGGGTCAGATCATTGTGAGTATACTAGTCTTGGCTCCAGTATTTTTTTGAGATGCTGGGCAAAATTGCTATTTTGAGGTTGTTTTGGGTTTTTTTAAGCCAAATCTGGCTAAATGCAGTGCTACACTATTAAAGTCCAGCACTTCTCAAAAACCTGGCATAAATATTCTTTTTTGGATCACTATCTAAGGTGAATATTTTTATAATGGAGATAATACGAACAAATAAGAAAAATAGCAAAGAAATTAAAAGAGTAATAATTTATTTTGAAAGCAAGAAGAGTAAGGTTATACATGGTATTTTTTCAGCCTTTATTTTTTATCAGATGCCCTTCTGTTAGAATATTCCTATGATACATTTCACAAAAATGTCATGGATATTTACAGTGGTGGGACAGAATTTACCATCTTGGCAGGTTATGATTAATGACACCATAATTTTGTTAGTTTTAAATTTGGATATGTAATTTTTTTTAAGACTGGTTCATTTGTTGAACTACTGTCTTGAAATTTATGTAGTCACTTTTAAGATAGCATTGATAAATACTTAATGCTAATGATAATTTTTTTTTCAGTCAAAGTGTATGTCAAGCTGAATGACAAGAGTCCACATATTTTATGTCTTACAAATCATCTGCAAAACTTAGAACTGATTGATCCAGTATTCTGGTGGAGTGGACCAGGTGGTAATCTTTCTTCAGGTCAGGATTTATTTTTGTATCCCTGCATCCTCTCCCCCCTCCCAGGGCAGCATGAGAGTTATAAATGTGGGAATGTAAGTGGAGAAGGAACCGAGGATACGTTCCAAGTGTTTGTATGCATATCATATAAATTAACTTCCACTTTTCAGAAATAAATGGGTGAGATAATAACATTAAAACACAGTTTCAGATTTCTGTGAAGAATGGTGTCATCTTTCAAGAGCACTAAATAGAATCATAGCATCATAGAATCATAGAATGGTTTCGGTTGAAAAGACGTTGAAGATCGTCGACTCCAACCATCGATCCAGCCCTAAGTCCACCACTAGGCCATGTTCCTAAGCACCACATCTGCTTGTCTTTTAAACACCTCCAGGGGTGGTGACTCAACCACCTCCTTGTTGGATGCAACAGAGGCTGAGAATGACATTCTTCGCTGCACTGAGAGACAGCTGGGAGTGTTCTGCGAGGACAGAATGGCAGGATGATGGGCAGTGTGAACTAGCCCAACTGCCTGGTTAATGACAGGCTACCTTCAGATATGAAGTTGCTCAAGGCCTTGACAACTTGAGTTTGGGGAATCTCTGTCCTTGGAGATTTTCTGTCTTTTCTGTGCAACCTGTTATTTTTTTCTTTTCAATCATAATTTCCCTTATTGCAACTTACCATTGTTGTTTTTTGTCCTTTTGTGGTATGCCTCTTAAAATGTATGTGTTTTTCTTCCCTGTATCTCCCCTTAAGTTGTGAAGGACTGCAGTTCCCATCTTAGACTTCTCTAGGGTAAAATTCGCAGTTTACTCTGCTTCTTGTCCTATACTCCAACTCTCTAATCATCTCAGAAGCCTTCCTGTTGACTTGCTCCAATTCATTAGTATCTGTCTTCTACTGAGGAGTCAAAACTGGACACAGGGTTCCAGAGTGCCCAAATGAGTGCTGACTAAGGAGAGAATAATCACTTTTGACCTGCTGGATATACCGTTGCTAATGCAGCTCCGTATGCAGTTAGCCTTCACTGTTGCAAGAGTGTGTTTCAGATTTGTGTTCCGTTTAAAATCCACCAGGACTCTGAGGTACTGTTTTTGCAGGGCTGCTCCCAGATCATCTGGTCCCCATCTGCATATGTTGCTGCTCTTATTCTGTCTCAGGTGCAATACTTAGCATTTATCACTGTTGAAATTAATGGAGTTTCTGGCATATGGTCTCTAGTCATGCAAGGTCACTGAATGGCATACACTGTAGTGTATCCGCACCCATGCCAATTTGATGTCTTTTGCATACTGGACAAGAATGCTTGTGGTGTAGGCCACTGGTAAAGATGTTAAGCCATTCTGGTGCTTTTATCAACCCTGAGGAATGCCCTTCATAACTGGCTGCTAGGTCAACCAATTTTCAAAATGATGATGCAGACAGTTTTTCATCTGTCTTGTATTCCACTCGTCTATTCCATATGTCCATAGTTGGGCTACAAGGATGTGATAGAGTACCATGCTGAAATTCTGGATAAAGGCTTTCAGTGTATATGACATCTACTGCTTTCCTCTCATACTCATAGGCAGTCATTCCATGCCAGGAGACGCTGAGGCTGGTCAGCCATGATTTGCCAATGGCAAATTGATGCTGCCTGTTCTCAGTCACTGTCATGTCATTCTGGAAATAACTTCCAGCAGTTCTATCATCTTTGCAGGGCCTGAGGTGAGGATGACTGACCTGTGACTCCCTGGGTCTTCTTCCTTGCCTATTTTTATGGTGGATGTATTTTTTTGGTATTTCTGGTGGATGTTATCACCATCAAAATAGACAACAGTCATTAATTAGTCAGCTCCCTCAACATCCTCAGATATAGCTCATTATAGGCTATAAACTTGTATATTTCCAGCTGCCTTAAGTAAGTAAGTCCCTAACACCACTCTTCTCTCTGCCTGTAGCATCTCTCATAAACTCTGGTGAGCCTGGGACAGGGCTGGAAAGCAGCCCTTGCTAGGAATGAGTGAAATATATGATATCCGACACTACACTGTGTTTTTGCATTGAATCTGATAACAGGCTTCGCACTCAGAAAGAATTTTTAGTATTCTTTGCCTTGAAGTGGTAGGCGTGGTTTTGCTTATACTTAAGCCTGTGCGCTATGTCATCTTACATAAAACTGCTAATGGGATGAATATATTCTGGTTAGCCAAGTGTGCTGCACTGTAACTGATAATGTTTTGATGCCCAGTCTGTGACAGAGTATCAAGTATATTGTTATGTGTTTAAGTACTGAGCTTTATCTGATGAGACAGAAGACAACCTCATTAACCAATTAACAAAAGTTAATCATTTCACTCCTCTGGCTTCTGTTTACTCGAACTGCAGTTTCAAGAGTGTAGAACAGAAAACCATGGAGACCTCAGACTTCTTCCACTTGACAAGTTTAAGTCTCTATGGGAAGATTGCTTCAGTAGTATCCCAAATTGCTATGCCAACCTTGGTTCACTAGCAAACAAGCTATGGTGGCAGGGGTTCTTGGCTCTGTGGCAAATTCAGGTATACCAGAATCAGCGCAAGTGGGGAAAAAACATTCCAGTGAGAGAAGAAAACTTGTGTTTTCCTGGCATAACTTTCTATAGAAATATAATAATAAGAAATATCTAGATCTATATCTATACATGATATTATAATATATGTTAGAGGACTTCAGCTTCAACCACCACAATTATAAACAGACAAAAGTATAAACAGACAAAAAGCTATGTAAAGTTTCTAGCTCATGAAATGTTTGCTGTGTAAAAGAATTCAGTCACTTGGTCTCATTTTAGAACGCATGTAGTCCTCTCCAAGTGGTAAAAATTACCTGGATTTGGTGTGACTATTTAGTCTTCTAATATCTGTCATAGCTAATCTCCATAACAGTGGGAAATTAGGATTCATAAACCTTGCTTGATACATTATTTCCCACTTTTTCAGTGCGGTTGTAGGAAAGAAAATACTTTCAGTGGAAATGTAGAATTGTGGATTAGGTTTTAGGAAAGAGTAACAAAGTACTGCTTCTTGGAACTCTTCAAAATAAATGTAGTCAGTTAAGCATAAAATATGTAGGAAGTGAGCCTGTCTTTCTTTATATACTATCTGTTATAGTTAGAAAAATCAGATTCTTTTTCAGGCACACCAGCCCTTGACACACACCATAAGAAGGGGTTTTGGGCCCCAAAAGTCTTGTCTAGCCATGTTCATCAAATATCATGACTACAGTAAAAACTCACAAAGAGCAGTGAACGCTTTTCTTCTATAGCCATTAAAAAAAAACAGTTCTCTTTTTTGAACAAGCAGCTTTGTTCACAGATTGTTCCAGTCCACTTATGTGCAGTTGAAAGAGTAATGAAAAATTAAATACCGCACAAAATGTAATTTAAAATCATTACAACTTTAGAATTAGCAAGCAATTTTTCTTCATTCAGCATAGTGACTCTTTTGTACTAAGATCTGGAAATTGTACTTTGAAGTTTGTAAAGAGCTGTTGGGATGGTTGAGAGTAAGTTTTTCAAAATATACTTAAGTGGAAGAAAAAACTTTAAAATAATTGCTTCTTATGTTCTGGATCTTTAAGTTTTACTGTGTAAAATAGCATTTTTGATGGTGTTCTGAACAGCTGCATAGAATGGAAAAGAGAGAGCATTTAGATTTTTATTTCTGACTGCAAACATTGGAACAGACCTCTTCTAGTTTGGTGAAAATGAACCTAGGAATTTGAATTTACAGGAAGGTTGCTGCTTTTCACACACACTGCCACGTAATATATGCATAGAAGGAATATGTGTTGGAAGATTGTGACTGTCCTTGCACAGACTGAAAAAAGTGTGTACTATCCGTTTGTAAAACAAAGCAACTGACAAATTATTGAATACCTGCACTCAGCCTCTCAACTGCAAGCTAAACCCCAGATACTCTAAAACCTGCTGTTGGTAATCAAAGAGTTCTGCTGTGAAGAGGGAAGGAAAGAGAATCAGGAGGAATATGAAGCTGCTTTTAGCAGATGTGTGTATCTCTATACTCATGCTGTCCTTATAACTGATAGATAACTTGGACATGTTTCCAGAGAGGCTGTCAGAGTCCTGTCTTGGACTACAAAACAGAGTGTGTTTCATTCCTAAGAAGCGTTTCAAGTGAACTCAAGTTTATTGTGTACCGTGTTAGCTTTTGTTTCTGTACATGTATAATGCATCACTGAATTTACCTATTTGAACATCTTTAGATATTGCATGTTTAATTTTGTACATGCTCAGTACTTTAATCTGAAGATGAAAGTTTATGATCTGGATTAATAGCTGTTTCTTAAAGTCTGAAAAATCTGTTTCTGAGAAGTCCATTGGCCTGATTCTGCTGTCATTTACTTTTGTTCTTAATATATAATTTCAAAATACAGAAGCTGTTCTACTGTAAAACTGGTATGAATAAGAGATAGGGTGGCAGGACGGCAAGTAACTATATTTTCACTGAAGGAACTGGAATGAGAATCAATCTGTTGTTTTTAAGTTTAGTAAACAGAGAAACTAAAATATAGGAACACTTAATTTTAAATATGACTATACAAGGGTTTGGAAAGTTAAGGGATTTAGTCTCTGGAACATAATTCTCACAGGAATAGCTCTGTTTTGCATCCTTTTAATTCCTAAGGATCCTGGGAAGTGTCTAGCTTCCTCTCTTAGCATTAATTTTAAAAGAACTGTTTTAAATCATGGCAGTTTTCACTGACTCCAGGGAACCTCTGAACTTGGACACATTGATTTTTGTCCATCATGCATGTGAAATGCCTCCTGTGTAATACAGGCATATTAAATCATATAATGTAATTCACAGTGAAATCCTGCTCACCTGTCTTACACCTGCTGCAGAGTAATAAAATGGAAAATGACTAGATTTAAGAAAAGGATTAATAGCTTAAGCACTTTTGAAATTTTGTTTTAAAGCTAACAGTCTGTTTTGTGAACCCAAACTCATCTGAGTAGACAGTATTCTTCCAGATTATCCCATGGAGCAAGGCATTTTAAGTGTGGTTTCTCTGTAACACTTGGTGAAAAAGAAAACCCCAACAACATAGCAGGCTCTTGATTTCATGATCCAAAAGAAGATTCTTTACACACAGACATACTATTACAATAATTTATGTTTACTATGTAAAATTTTGGATCTTTTCTGGTATATGAAGCATTGTTCAAGGTTACATAAAATTCTATAATGAAGTCAGTGACTTAGTCCATCAGAAGAACATATTATTTTTGCTTTTCTGCTAATTTGTGACCAAATCTCTTAACTGGATTTCCAAGCTTTGTCTTTTGCAAACTTCTTGTCATCTTTGCAGTTCAGTGCTGCATTTTGTAAGTATAGCAAAGCTGTCTGTGGTGCACCAGTCTTAAAGGTGCTCCAGCTACCCAGTCAACCAGCAGAGTTGTTGCTTTTGGCCCACACAGGGCATTTGCATATGTCAAAGGTCAGAACTATAGTTCTTCAATCTGTGCTGTTTCTCTGGCAATATTAATCTGGTAGCTGTTCCAGCATACGGTAGCAAGTGACATTCTAGTTTATAGTCCTGAGTAATTCATCATCAGATTAAAAACCTCTTCATCATCCAAAAAAATGAAAGATAGTGTGCCATTAATGTGAGAATCTAAGTAGATATGGAATCCTAAACCATTCTTGTAAAAAATTTGCACTTCCTGTCTTTTTAATAGTACTCTTTTTTTTACCAGCACTTTATTTTTTGTTTTAACACAGTGATATATATCACAAAATTAAGTTAATTAAAAGCATAAATATTTTCTTGAGGAACTAAGTTGTCCTGCACTTAAATCAGTCTATTTTTTTCCCTATATCTTTCTTAAAATCACCTACCAGGAAGATCAGCGTGCATCTGCAGTAACATGTTAGTTTGAATAGGAGTGTGACTTTGAAGTGAATTGCTTGACTGTACCCACTTACTACATTTTGTTGGAATCATGGCCTGGTCTTTGCATGCACAAACTGGATTCCTTTTGGATGAAGCTAATTGGAAAGGTTTGCTTTGAGAAATAATGTGTGCTCAGTCTGTAAAACCAGATTAGGAATGGTCTGAAGTAAAAGCCCTAAGATGTGTGTAGTATAGATCTCATGTCCTTAGCACTGATTTTTATTCAGTCTAAAAATATGCTGCTTTCATGCCACACTAATTGTCTAGGCTTCCATTGTCTACATGAAAAGGTCTAAACTGCTTAGCATGTTAAAAAGACTTTTTTTTTTAAAATTTCGGTCTCTGTAAATGGAAAGAAAAACCCATTCTCAAAATATTTTATCATACTATTTTACCTTGAAGTCTATTATAATCAACTGTAATCTAGTGGTTCTCAAGGTTTTCTTGACAGCCGCCAGCAAGATGGGCTACATATTACTATCTGAGATACCCATATCTATATTGTTACTGCCTGAGGACTTTTCAAATCACGAAAGGACTCATCAGCTGTCATCATGTAACCCACATGCAGACTACATGTCTGTATGGTTCATTATCAGGGCCCAAATCTGACCTTAGCAGTGCTTTTCTTTCTCTTTAAAAACCTAATTAAAGAGCCATGCTCATGATTTGTCCTTTGAAGTAGGATCCTACTTCCTCGCTGCCTTGAACTAAGGAGTTGTATTAAGACTTTGGCCAGCATATCAATGCATATCTTTCCATACAGAAGGATTATTTTACAATCTTAAACATACATGGTTTTCATTTTGGCATATAATTTTTTTAGAAAGGTCTGTTATACAGTACTTGCTTAACTTGAACTTCCTGTCTTGCCTACTTTGGCATTTGTGGCTTGATAAACATGACCAGCATCTAATTGGTGGGGCAGTTCCTGAAGGCTGAAAGGTTAGTAGTCAGATGTAGAGATGTAAAAAGAGATTATTTGTCCACTTTGCCCTCTTTTTTTCTGGGAGCTTTTTGCTCTTGGAAATTGTTATTGTAGAGAACAATAGATGTCTGAGATCAAATTAAAACAGGTTTCTAGGACTGCTTTGTCAACTGATACTTGAAAATAGAGCAGCAATAAGGCGTATTTGTGTGATGCTGAACAGAGTGACACCCAGTCACTTCAGTTTCTGAGTCGTGTGGTTTCATCTGAATCTGTATTATTTTTTGTGCACAACTTAACAGTAAATAACCATTTTGACCCTTACTTTCTACATTTTCTCATGATGACAACTAAATTGATCTCATTATTGTGTTTACTAGGAAATAGCAATGTGCAAATATCACCAACAGGAACTTTAATATTGAGACACTTCAACCTGAGTGGAGCTTACACGTGTTCTATTGTTTATAAGCTAACAGCAATGCAAACTGATGAAAACCTCTTAATAAAATATCTTATTTATGGTAAGTTTTCAATCTTGGTAGGTGTTGTTGTTGCCTTGAAAAGTTTTATTTTTAAAAAATATGTGATGCTATTTTTAAATAAATAAGCTTATTTAGAATTTAATTTTCAGAGATAAAGACATTCTGTTTCACTGAGAAATTGTTTTTAATATTGGTTACTACCAGGCAGTCCATTTAATGTCATTTACAGAGCCTTAAATGAAGCTCAGAGGCTGACTGAGAAACTTCTGAATACAGTTCTTTTTAAAAAAGAAACATAAAACATAATGAAATGTAACAAATTGAATAGGCAGTAATTCTTAAGAATATTAAAATAGTATAATTTTAAACTGAGTTATTCTTTATGAATAGAATAATTGTCGCACATCCATATGGATTTATTTCACATACTTTAATTCCTTAATTATTACCTGATTGTGTTTTTTAAGTACACATCATTTAATGATGTAGTATTTGTAGTTTATTCTTTCCTATTGTGATTACATTTCCTTCTGTCAGC